CCCCAAAACCCCAAAACCCCAAAACCCCGCTTTTGAATTAAACTGTTATAAATAGAGGCCATCATTTTATATCAAACAAGTTGTTTTATTTTTAAAATAATCAAACATTTGTTAGTCTAAATCTAACAGCAATATTATTCTGACACTTTATAAAAGCACTGATCTAGTTTTATAATTCTACTATAAGATCATCCTTTTCTTTCAACTGTTGCATTAATTGCTAGGGCTAAATTTACTATAATTTCTATAATGTTTCTTTTTGCCTTTTGATGACAACTTCAAACTTAGCAATTTTTTCCTCCTTTGTAATTTTAAGCAGATTGTACCTTTGAGAGTACCAGTTTATCAGCTCCTCAGTCTGCTATCTAGTTTCATTTAAGTCACTAGATAGCTGTTTTACTTGCTATCTCAATATCAAATTTTCATCATGAAGTCTATCAACTTGCTCGATAGATTCAATCTCTAATGCATTAAGTTCAAATTCCAAAGTTCTTATTTAATGCTCTAGATTCTAGATACTTGAAATTTAAGGCTACTCTTGCTTGAGACTCTAATTCACTGAATCATTTTTATTAATTGCATCCATGAATTCATTATTTATGTTAATCAGACTTTAACTGCGTTACAGTTCAGATATGCTCTACTCAGATTTAAAAATTGCCTCAATAGCTTTTGAGAGATCAAGCTTTTTCGATTCAAACTTCGCTCTTGTTTAATTTATTTCCATTAAGCGATTTTTTCCATTTTGATCATTATCATCAATGATGGTTCTATATAATTCATGAAAGACTTTTGATTGGATATAGTTGGCATCAGATTTTTCTTGATTTTTCAAGTACTAATTCAATTACTTGTTTACATCTAATAGCTGTAATAGCATATACTTTTTCTCTGATTTGTCAACTAGATCTTATTGAAAGTATCTATCTATTTTACTATAAGAGTTAGACTAATATGCAAGTAGGTGTTCTAATTCCTAAACTCTAGCCTCTAATTCCTTTATTCTTTTGCGATCAGCAATTAATTAGGCTTTATTTTCTTAACCAAAAGTTTCATTTCTTTTTAGCTAATCTGTTTTTATTTACCTAAGATTGTTCGCGAATTCTATAGTCCTAATGGAATCTTGCTCAAACCGAGCTTCATTGCTGATGCAAGCAATTAATAGTATAAAGGATTACCCACTTAGGGAATCTTTGAGGTAAAATGTAAGCTTCGAATCTCTGAATCTCAATACCTAACTCTACCTCTTCTTATTTGATGCAATCTGAGAAACAATCTCAGTTAAATTTGACAATGACTTGTTAATTTAGCATGCTTCTTTTAATCTCATTCCTTATGCTTGTGTATCTTGAATTCTCTCAGACCCAGCTAAATCAATAATGTTTAATTTTGAAGAAACTATGGAGCTTTCTTCATTTTTATACCTCAAATTCATAGTAAAGATTGAATGAGATCGTGAACTCTAAGAGTTAGCCATAGTTGCTCCAACAGTCTTATTTTTATTTCCCATCAGTATAAGTGCTTGAATCTCAGAAGAAAGAGTTCTTAAATCATCTTTCATTTCAATTTCTGATAGAGATACTTCTTTTGCTCCAACTAATTAGATCTTTCCAGTTTAATCCTCCCTAATGGTCAATTATGTTTATTATCCAGAGTTATTTAAAAGATCTCTAACTTGTTCATTGTAAATCTCAACGAAGGTAAATGTCAGAAGCCATTCATTTTTCTACTGAAATGTTGACTGCAAATATTCAGCTGTGAAGTCTAGGATGCCTTTTACTTAATTTTAGCTACTTCCAAATACAGTAAATGATTTTCCTGCTCCAGTATGTCCGTAAGCAAATATTGTTGCATTATATCCTTATAATTTTATATATAAAATTAATTTTACCAGATAAGCATTACTCTACTATTGGTGCTACTTTTTAATGAAATAGAATTGAATTGTCTGAAGAATTTTAGATCACTTGGTCAAAATGATAGACCTAGGTCTAATTTTTAGTATAGTTAGTTATGGCTATTCAGCAATCGTCTACTACTTCTATTGCTTTTTTCTCATTTACTTAGCCTACCATATTGATTTGGTAAATTTCAAATAAAATACATTCTTAGTTTGGGTCATAGGCTAAGATATTTGGTCTAATTTTTACTACTGCTTGAACTGAGTTCATATTAATTGGAAAGTTACACAAAATTTAATTTAATAATTATAAATTTACTTCACAATACAGAGTCACCTGAATCTTTAAAATTAATTCATTAAGGGGTTTTGGGGTTTTGGGG